CACTGGCCAAAAAGCAATGTAAGGTCTTCATCATATCTTTGCAGCTGCCTTTCTTGACAGCTCCAGTGATCTTCCCTCTCCAAATACTCTGGCCTTCTCTACCCAAGCCTCTGACATTACTCGTAGCCCATCCATGGAGAATGTTCCTGTGCTCTTCCATCACACCCATGAGCAGCTGTGGTGGGAGGCTAGTGCCAAGCTGACCTGGACAAAGTTCTCTGCAGTAGCACTGACTTCTTGGTGATTCATTCACTTGTGCCCATTGAATGGCCTGTGCGGCCACTCCTCCCCTCTGTTGACTTCTTAAGCACTTTGAGTTTTAAGTCATTGGACACCTGCCCCATTTCTCTGATTCCCTTCACATCATGGTTTCTACAGATATCAGCTGGGCAAACTTCCTGAAAGTCAGAACATTCCTTGTGTTCCTGGGGCCTCATTGACCTTCCCTTTGCCCCCTGCATTCCACAGGACCCATGTCTGACAAGGTCCCTGAGAACCTCGGGGTTAGTGATCGAGATGGCATTTTTCCACACTGCCTTTGGCACTTTGCAACACAAAGCTTAACAGTGTCCTGGTTAAGGAGATGTCAACAGGGAGGATAAAGGCGAGATAGACAGGCAAACAGTCATCTGTTTCTCAGTCTTGCCTACCAGTACCACTTCTTAAACTTCACCATAACCTTCATTCTCTTTATCAAGGGGTCCTTCTGATTTTCTTTTCTGTCCTTTACACCTGTCCCTTTATATTAGAGCCTGGACAAAGCCATCCATGACCAAAGATTCATCCACACCCATAGATCACCCACTACATAATATACTTTGTAGGAGACCTACATATTTCCCCCTTTGGCCCTTACCTATGCTCTGGTTGTTAACCTATAGGCAAAACATACAACCATCTATAAGCCTGCTTATGCACTGGAAATATCATCTTTCTCTGAGGATGTCCATGTACTCCAGAGGAGCAGGAAGCAGGAGCAACATGAATTAGCTTGCAGAAGGACTGGCTCACAATTGTCTCTAATTCCTGACCACACAGCAATAGAACTGTCTAACTTTCATAATCACACTTTGCTCTCATTGTGAGTCTTTGACCTGCTGGGATGATCTAAGTGTTCCTAAGTGCAAGAGAGCTGTGGTGTGCTTTACAGGGAAACACAGATAAGCTTTGTTCAGACATGAATTCAATGTTAGCCAATCAACAACACATTAAATAAGGTGTCTTTAAACAGAAAACACACACAAAACAAGATTATATATTGATCAATTAATGAATATGTTGTGGTCGAAAGCCCACAGGAACCTAACCCTGTATTCCCCCTCGGAGCTTTGTGAGTTTTGGACCTGCTGGGATGACCACAACTAGCTCCTAGAGCAGTTTAGTTTGACTATCTTAGAAGTCAATTAAATGCTAAATGGTCAAACAAGATTACTGGTCCCCAGGGCTTGAAAAATAGACGGTGACCTGGCACTCAAGGGGTGCTGTTTCCTCGAGAACTGCCTTGACAGGGCTGAGTGAACTCCTTGAGAGAAAGGAGTTGGTTGCACTTATCTTTGCGTTCCCAAGGTTACAGTGCTCAACACAGACAGTGCCCACCACTGACGATGGGGTCAGGATTTCACAGATATAAGTGACAAGGGATTTTTGAACAACTATTTGAACTAGACTAACATGGGAGAATACCAAATAGAGTTTGAATGAAGCAGAGGAGGAGAAGCCGGGGGAGAGGGAAAGAAAAGGGTACATTATGTAAGTACAGTCCATTCCTGTTACTCGTGGTTGTCACACTCTATGAAGTCAACTCCAACACTGAATTAGCAAATATCAAACCTCTGCTCCCAGAGGAAATACAGGGTTAGGTTCCTGTGAGCCTATAATCATGTTTTTGTCAGTCGATCAATACATAACCTGTTTTGTGTGTGTTTTCTGTTTAAAGACACCTTATTTAATATATATGTTGTAGATTTGTTAATATTGAACTCATGTTTGAACAAAGCTTATCTAAGACGTGTATTTTCACTGTAAAGCACATCGCAACTCTCTTGCGCTTGGTAACGCTTGACAGCCCTTCATACCATGCTTGGGGGCCATCTGAAACAGTGAGATCACCAGCACAAGTACACATATGCAAAAAACTTGTCACTAAGTAGACTGCAAAAGGGACACTTGTTCAGCACAAGAGCTGAAACAGAAGGCAGAACATGGCTCTCAACTAGGAATGTGGGCATCAAATTTTTCACCACTCTGCACATGCCCACAAATGACCACAGAATTGTTGCAAGTATTGATTTTGAGATTACAAGTAAATTTTAGCAGGTGAGCAAATTTGCAAATACAGAATCCACAAATAATGAGGTTCAACTGTGTGTGTGTGTGTGTGTGTGTGTGTGTGTTTATCAAGCAAAACTTAAACCACAACAGAGATGTTGGCTCTTCAGAGAGTGCAGCCAGGCTCAGCCGTCAAGACAGGGACAGTAAAGATACAAGCAGACCGAGAACAGGTAACAAGACAAAAGCGGCATGCTGTCCATAGGCAGGGGTTTTGGCCATCAGCCAGCAACAGACTCTACGGGGTCTTGGCGAGAGGGGCTAAGGGTGGGTTATGGCAGCATAATGTGTCCACAGGCACCCAGCCACACTGCGGGTCTGTGGTGACATGGATGGGCAAAGGGCTGTCCCTATCCCTTCTGCCATCTCCCACACTTGGCCCTGGGCATGCGAGAGCCTATCCTCCCTCCACCCAGATGCCTAACACAGGTGTGTCCCAAGGATTCAGAGCCTACAGGTGTGTCTGAGGGCAACAAGCACAGGTGCACAGAAATTCGAGCTGCTCTGGTGAGGAGCTGGCCTCCAATATGCCATAATCCAACCAGCAGCCACCTAAACGCCCCATCTTCCAGAGCTGAACTTAGTGCTGGGTGGCCTGGGAAGAGAGGACTTAGGGGTGGGGTCCAAAAAGTAATCAAACAGCCCCAAGAGCTGTTGGAGACCTTTGGGTTGCAGATTAGTGAGATGTGACCTTTGGTGAGAGTTTTCACATTACCAGTTTCTAGCCCAATGTCTGGGTCATAGATGCTCATTAAAATCTGATGGGGGGGAGCCCAGCTGGTGTGGCTCAGTGGTTGAGCGTTCACCCATGAGCCAAGAGGTCCTCGGTCAGGGCACATGTCTGGATTGTGAGCTCGATCCCCAGCAGGGGGTGTGCAGGAGGCAGTCAATCAATGTTTCACCTCTCTCTTCCTCTCTCTCTAAAATCAATAAAAACATATTTTAAAAAAATCTGAAGAGGGCCTATGTGAAAGAAAACACAAAAGGAGGGTTGATGGCTGGAGAAGCTTTTGTTTATTTTATTAAGGCAGGGGTATACTAAGAACATCAGTGTTCTCCCATCACACTCAAAAATAACGTACTTATATAGTACTTTATGTTTTTCAAAGCACTTTTATATATAATCTTGTTAATCCTCAGATTAACTCTACATAGTAGAGGGATTATATATTAATGTACCATGTGGTTAGTCAAGGTAACTGAAACAGAGAAGTCAGGAGATTTGAGCAAGGACATACAATTAGTGAATGGCATGGCCAGCTCTACAGCTCCCATATTTCTCACTGGTTTCACGATAGAAAGCAGGCCCTGATGTGTGCACCCAGACTCCTCCATTACCACTCAGAAGCAGCTCCTCACTCCCAGGCCCTCGCAAGAAAGTGTCAGATGCCACCTGCAACACCCAGCCTGGGCTCTCTCTAGAAGGCCCACCCTTTAGGAAGTGCAGGCTGCAGGCCAGAGGAACCAGAGACGTGGCAATAGACCCAGAGCCAGTGATGCTGTTGGTCTGGTTCCCCAAGCTGGGGAGCAGGCTGCTGGGAAGCCAAGCGGGCATCCCGTGCCAGGCCAAACAGGCAATTAGCACTCACAGAAACCCTGCTGCCCAGTGATTACTCAAAACAATGGAACTCCAGGCCTGCTGATTCCCGGGACAGGGGGCAGGTGAGAGGGAAACCTGTTGTTTATAGAGAGCCGAGGAACCCCTGAGCCAGAGGGGAGCAACACAGGTCCTGAGGCCTCTGATTCACTCTGTTCTCCAAGTTGAGAGCCCTTTAGTTCAAGGAGCCAGGCTGGCCTCATGTCCTTGTTCGGTACTCAGTTTGTTCTTTTCACTCTTCCCTGCACCTACCTCCATTCAAGACTACTGTATAGAGCTCTTTTCTGGATGCCTTCTTTCAGGTTTCTCTCCCTCCAATATATGCCCAATGCTACATCCTCATGGCTGCCAGTCCTATCCTGTAATTCATCACTTTCCCATCCTCCTTTCTTGGCTTTGGATGGGAACTTCCTTCATTCCACCTTTCTGGTACTTTCCCCATACTGTTTGCATTGGTAATGCCAGGCTCACAGAGAAAGAGAAGAGGCAACTAGTGGAGAAACTGGCACTGGCCAAACAGGAATGAATGTTGGCCCATCACTGACACTGCCTGGGCATTCTGAGGCTGGCTTTTCCACCCAGGACAAGAAAGCCACGGGTGAAGGAAGATATGGGCATAGGTCAAGTATGGAGGCCCAAGCAGGGGTGCAGTTTCCCTCATTCCAAGAAACAGTATGGTTTGGATGGCAGAGCAGGCGCTGAGGTCGAGGTCTTGGGCTTCCCCAAGGACATGCCTATCTCTTGGATTAGGGAGCTGTTAATGTCAACTGGGGAGGAAGTTCACTCAGAAGGACAGACACATGGGTTAGTGCAGAGGGCTGTGAGCCAAGGGGTGGAAAGATGGTGTCCTATACAGTGACCTCAAGAAGGCATTTTCTGAGAGGGTCAGAGGACACAGATGGAATAAGGAGAGGGGTGGGAGAAGATGCCCCTCACAAAGACCCTGTCACTCCCAGTGGCTGGGAGAACTGGCAGGTGCCATGGGCATGGTGAGGAGGAGACATGGAAAATGCTGGGGTCTCCTTCATGGGAATTTTGCTTCCTCTCCTTCTTCTTGCCATTGGGGAGGACTCACCTGAAGAAGCCTTTGCAGCCTTCGCAGGTCATAGCGTTGAAGTGAAAGCCTGTGGCTCGGTCTCCACACACCCCACAGATTCGAGGCACATTCCGGTCAAAGTCACCAGGGTCAGGCAGGGAAGTGCTGGCCGCCATCGCCTCCATCCCTGCAGGAACAGCAGGTGGGCTGTGGTCAGAGCCCGAGTCAGTGCCAGGCCCAGCTGGCATCCTTTGCATCCCCTGCCCTCATCTATGGGGAGTGGGGGGTGGGCTCAGTAGAGCTGGGCAGCTCCCAGGGGGCCCAGGCCCGAGCAGGACTCTCCATACCCCAGCTTACCCTCCTGACACTCTGCTGGTCATGAACAGGAGCAGGGGTCCCTTTCCCAGAATTGGAGTGAATCTCCAATTGGAGTGGGGGGCCCTGTGGTGAAGATACTCAGCAAGGCTTTAAATCAAACTGCCTGGGTTCAAAGGCTGCCTCTGCCACTAACTAGCTGGGCTACTTTGTCAAAGTGATTAGCTTCTCTGTGCCCATTGTCCTCTTCTGAAGAATGGATTTTACTTTAAAGGGTGTGAGGAAGGATTATATGAATGAGCATATGTGCACCACTGGCATCAGCTCCACTGGCATCAGCAGGTCAGAGGCCTCTATATTGCCCAGTGCCCCCTCCAAGAGAAAAGGGGAGAACCCCTCAGCCTCTCTGTTCTTCAGGGCGAGGGAATAAAAACTTCCATGCCCAAATCAGAGCCTTTGCCAGCTCCTCACAGCCATCCAGCTCAGGACTGGCAGGCTTTGTGCCCCTGCTGTGTTGTACCAAGGTAATCAAACCTTTTGATTGTCCCAAGTAATATGAGTTATATACAATTAACTGATTTTGTTTTCAGAGATGTCTTTTATAAATATGTATTATCATCTAGAGATAGATTTCACACTTGAGAAAAGTGGGGAAAGAGACAGAATATAATAGCTCGGAGAAATCCTTCTCAGGACACAGCCGATGTAACTCTCCCATTAGGCAAACTGGGCCCTTGGCTTCAGCTGCTGCCTCTGATCCTGAATGTGGTCAGGCTCAGAGCTGCTTCTGGGGTACCTCGGGCCTCCCTAAAATGGTTTCAGACCCTGCCGCCTCCCAGTTTTATCTGAGTCCTTGTAAAGGTCATCACAGGTTTAAGCAGCCCCTTGGCCCCGCAGCAGGAGGGTCCCTCAGGTCAGAAGAAAAATAAGAGAGAAGGCCAGTTCTGAGGGAATAAGCACCCTACTTCCTCCCACCCTGGTGCCATGTCTTTCACTCTGAGGGGAGAGAGATAGATTCTGGGGGGCCCTTGGGAGACTCTGAGCTTCTTTTCCATGATGGGGCACATGACCTCTGGGCCAGGGTTTGACACATCAAAGTCCACGAGAGCCTTATTTTGTTTCATCTTCATATCACCCTAATGAGATAAGTGCCATTATCACTCTCTTTAAAAATGAGGCCCAGAGAAGCCCAAACCTTGAGGTATCTATAGCATCTATGATTATAAAATGCACAAAACAAATACTTAACTTTTTTAAATTCCACAAAGAACTTCAGGTTAAGGGAAGGAAGTGGAACAGATAAGGATATGGCATGGTCAGTCTCAAAGGGGTAGAGGGGACCCTGATCATAGACAGATATAGTAGATCCCCTAACTTTCTCCTTCAGCTCTTCTTTTCCTGGGAACTTTAATGAAATAATAGTGACACTGTTACCCTTTCTGTCTCAGCTAGATTGACACTTGTTAAACTATAGTGTGTGTGTGTGTGTGTGTGTGTGTGTGTGTGTGTGTGTGTGTCATCCCAAAAATCGTATACACACTTTAACAGCTGATAACTCAATTTTGGAAATGAAATATATTGTAATAAACGCTGCCTTTGTAATTATTCAAAGTGTGTGTGTACATTTTTTTGGAGAGATATATATGGAGAGAGAGACGTTTTAAAAAGAACAGTGCAGCCCTGGCTGGTGTGGCTCAATTGGTTGAGCGTGTCCCATGCACCAGGAAGTTGGCAGTTCGATTCCTGGTCAGGACACATGCCCAGGTTTCAGGCTTGATCCCCAGTAGGGGGCATGCAGAAGACAGCTGATAGATGTTGCGCTCTCATATTGATATTTCTCTCTCTCCCTCTGCTTTCCTCCCTCCCTACAAATCAATAAAATATTAAAAAAAAAGAAAAAGAACAATGCAATGATTAACAGAAACCTTTGAGGGGATGAGATGGGAATGGGAAAGGGCATTTAGAGGCAACATGTAGCAGCCACATTGTGTTTCTTTAAGTGGTAGGTATTTGTATCTTATTATTTAAACACTGTTTTATGTTTTATATGCCTGTCTGTTTATACAAAACATTTCACAAATTTAAAACAATTTAAAAAGAAAAGAAAAAGTGACTGTGGATCTGTCAACAGTGGCCCTGTAACCCATCCCGCGTCTAGGCTGACTTCCCGGGCTTCTAGAGCGTCACACACATCTAACATGTGGGCAGGGATCCCAGAGGCCCAATAGTACTGTGGGGCAATAGGAGAAACTGTCTAGGATGCCTGTGGCTTAACCCCAGGTCGCCTGAGATGTTGCAACTCCCAGTCATCATGATGTTGCCACAGAATCTGCATCATCTGAGAGCCCAAACATCTGGTGGAAAAGAGGGGGTTGGGGAACATCAGTCAAATCCGTGTAAGAAATGTTCAGCATCACATGGGCTCATTAGGAGATGTTATGACACAAGAGGCTAGGAGAACTTGGGCGAGGCACTGCTTTAATATCAGCAAGGCTGCTGGCCAGGGGATGGGGGCCCAGAAACTGGATTAGGCAGGACAGAGGGCTGGACCCAGCAGCCAGAGGCTTACTGTGAAAAGAACCATTTTCAGGTGAGCTGAGAGAAAATGCAGCCCTGCTTGGAGTTATTTGCTGCTGCCAGGAAGCAAGAGCCCAGGACCAGAGTCCAGAGGTGGAAAAGAGGCCCAGGCATCTATGGCCTGGGAGCCGGCAATACCACAAATGGTGCACAGGCAGAGACTGGAGGGCAGGAGAGAGTAAAAGGAGCTGGGGGCTGCAGAGGAAACATAACCATGCTGGACAGCCCGAGGGTCCCAGCCTGGAAATCAGCAGGTCCTGCCCTCTGAGCCCCGCTGAGTCCCTCTGAGCCCCCACTGCCATTCAGCAGGGCTCTAGGTCTCAGCTGTGGGCTGCTCCGAATTCTGCTGACAAGGGACCAACCCACATGTGCAAAGCCCAGGGTGGCACCCTCCTCCTTCCCCTGCCTGCAGCCTTCCCATGGCCCACCCCCGTCCTCAGGGAAACAGAGAGCCAGGAGTGTGTGGCTGAAGAAACACCCACCTGAAGGAGCAGGGGGGCAGGTAAGTCGAGCCCAGGGGTGCCCTTCTGTGAGTTTTCGCAGGCACTTCTGACCAAAAGGACTCTGAAATGAGAAAGGGGAAACATTTATCTACAGCTCAGCGCAAACCTTATAGCCAGTCCTCTAAGGAGCCCAACAAACAGGTGCTCTTTCCAGGGACATTGGTTCCCAGGTCAAGGACTGAAACCTGACAGGAGTGACTTGTTGAGGGCAGGCGTGCCATGTCATGGCTGGCAGGGGTGAGTGGGCTGGAGCCAGGCAGCAGCCAGCATGGCCCTCCCTGAGGCAGGGAGTTGCAAGGAGCAGCGAGGGCAGTGGGACAGCCTCCCTGCTGGAGATTCTCCCCTCACAGACAGGGTGTCAGGAGGCAGGGGGGCTTCTTTCTAAGGGGGTACTCCTGCTCCCACAGCCCCCACCCCAGACTTGAGGGGCACTCAGAGAAGCAGAGTGACAGGGTGGCCTGGCCGTTGCTGACGGCAGGAAGGAAACGGGCACCCCATGCGGAACACAGAGGAGCCTAAGGGAGCTGGGGACCGTGTGGGCTGGGATTCAGCCCCAGGCCTGGCCAGCTTCAGAGACAGGTGTCTGGGATCTCCTGTCTGCGGAGACCAGTGTAGGCGGCACACTGCTGCAAGGGTTAAATCCAGCTGCACACTTGCAAACAGGATGTTTTCTGCCACTTTTAGCTCTTCCCCAGACATTTTCTCAACTCCCCCGGCCTCGCTGAGGGCTGAAGGTGACTCTGCTGCCCAAACTCTGGGTTTTAGTGGCATGATGGGTCACCAAGGTGGGGCTGGCAGAATTTCACTCTTCCCACTTCCACCCACACCCAGCCCAGCTTATCCACCCATACACACATGCACACACATGCACACACACATACACACACACATGTCCTCCCTTCACTGATGCCAACAGGAGGTGGCTGGGAGATAAATAGATATGTGGATGCCTGACCCTGCAACCTGGCCAAGGCCTCCCAGATAGGGAAGGTGCAGACCCCCATCTTTTGTTTCTCCGCCTCCTAGTGTCCTGACTAGACAGGGAAGGGGCTTCCAAGGCCTAGGTCCAATCCTAGGACTGACAGCCCACTGAGTCCACTTGCTACCCTCTTGGGAACCACCAGCCCCCATGGAACATCCAGGGAAGATGCCAGTGAATCATGAGCTGAGGTAACCTGGGCTAGGCTGGCCCGTTGCCCAGGACCTTGGGTGGGAGGAAATGTACCTGCTGGGGACAGGCATGTTGTCACTTACCCCCAAGCTAAGCTCTCCTTTGCTCCCTCTACTTGTTCTGCCCAAGGCCCCAGCTGACCACATGCTTCAGGATTCTACCCCATGGCCTTATCCACCTCCCAGACTCCCTGCTTGCTCCCAGACGCTGAGGTGAGAGCCGAGTAGGAAGAGAAAGGACCACTGCTTTCCTGTCCTCCACATCTGAGATTTTCAGAAGTCAAACATGAGGTCCAGGTAGACCACTACTCTTCAGTTTAAAAAATAAAGTGTATGGAATACCTACTACGTGCCAGCCTGCTAGGCTCATACACATGATCTCATGTAAGCTTCATAATATCCTGGGAGGTGAGCATCCCCCTTTTACAGATGGCAACATCCAAGTCCAGAGCACTTTGAGTAACTTCCCAAGGGTCTATAGCCAGGCAAGTGGTGGCGCCAAGGGTCACACGAGGACAGGCTGACTGCCATGCTCAAATGCGTCCCTTGCCTCCTGCTGGCTCCACCCATTGCAGTGATAACCATCAGCACAGACACTATCACTCTGGGCCCGGCCCTGCTCCAAGTTCTTCACG